TACGTTTGTGTGTGGAATGTGCATTTTCCCATCGTTTTCGCGCCGCATCGCATGCCGCCCTTTAATAGGAAACAAAAGCAGATCCTTGTGGCGACAACACAAATATTGCGCTTCCCATAGCGGATGACGCGCAGCTGCTAATAACCAGTCTTCAGAGTTGCATTTGATCTGGTTGCAATCCCTCTGATTTGAAACCTGCTGCCGCTTCAACATCGAAAATTGACTTGAGACAGGATGCGTCAGAAAACCTAACATGACACTGCAACGCACTGTTGCTCCACTACTGGAAGAGAATTAATATAGGAAACGAAAGAAAGTCAAGCAGCCGTGCACATGTGCTCCATTGTCGAAAAGAAAGTTTATCAGCATTGCCCAAAGCTCCGTTAGGATCAAAACAAGTCATCACCAAAGGGAAAATATTGCTCCGTTTGGTTTAGGTCGTAGACACAAAGGCAACATAGCCCGTTAGGTTTACGACAAAGTCACATCGGGTGGGAGCAGTACTCAATCTGCTATGTACGTGCGGGACAGAGAGTTGGAGGGCACCCACGTGCTGTACGATTGAACTGACACTGCTCACTTGTTAACGTTTGCCGAAAGGCTCCCTGTGTGCTCTTTCAGCTTACCGGCCATCGGAATTGAACAATGCGTTCAAGGCTTCGAGCATTGCCTGGATAGTGAGACGGCATTGAGTTGTTAAGGTGGCTCTGTAACTGCCATTCCCACGGTCTGTTCCTCCGCCTGTAGAGTTTCGACTCGTCAGATGCCATTGCCGAGGAGCAGGTCAATTGGTAAGTTGCATTTCGCCTCTGCCAAGGAGGAGTGGATCTTAAGGCCAAGGTGTGCCGAGTTGGATCTGGTCGGAAATTGTGCCTCTAGTTGAACGACTCAACTCCAGCAGCGATCCCGCCGATTCACCTTCCATTAGCGTACTTAATAAAGCTATAGGGGGCTCGCCTTAGACCCGATTATCTTGAGCTCGCACACACGGCGATAGATGGCAAGGGGGTGAATGCGCCGCTGTCCGAGCTTCGGCAGGGCATGTGCTTGCGTACCATGATCGAGAGTTCATGGATGCATGTGTTCGTGTACACCATAGACGCCCTATGGGTAGTCCACGACATGTGGATCCTCTGAGTGAAAACCTCATGCACATCGCTGACGCGAGCAATCCCAAAAAAGAGAGCGAGTTCCCCTTCGTCTGCAATTGACTGATTATATATGTGCGAGATACCCAACACATTGACTAGAGCGAAATAGTTTCTCGAGTGGATATGGAAAGAACCGATTTCCACATCTTTTGGATTTGAACAAATTGCTTCAATTTGCAAACAGAAAATAAATGTTGCTTTCAATATTTGGGAAAAGATTTCTTTTCCTTCAACTACGGCGTTACACTCAAAACAGAGGGGCTATCCTTAAAAGTGGAGTGCCAGTTCCGATAGCTGCAGGTGAGATTATCTGGATGCCATTATGGGATGATGGCTTTGAGCTGAGCTATGAGCCATATGAGGTCACAACAGCGGTTTCAGCTGGGAGCCACTGTCCATCCAGGTCACTATCGAGCTGCCTTGAGTTACAATGCCCGTGACAGCCCACTGCAATGGTGTCTTACTGATGATGGAGTTTTACCTGCTAGAGCCAGGGAAGCGGAGTTGAAGATTCTGCATGAGAATGTTTAACTCATTGGATTGTGCCGCACTGAGCTTGAACGCAATTAATGCATGTTTTTTTGCATAAGTGCTGTGTACCTAGCTAGGGCAACTTGCCGAGGGTACCAACCTGCAAAGTCCCTGCTTGGTTATTCGTAACGGGGGACTGTTCTGTGTTTAAAGTATGTTTCACCTCGAAAACTTTTTGTCGTCTATTTTCAAACTGAAGCTTAACTAGGGAATGCAAAATGCAATCTCAATGGCCGGTCAATACGGCTGTTCCTGCGGTCGCCTAGCGTCTACTGGATGCTGTGCCTTCAACGTCAAAAGTAAAAAATGATTCGATTGCCTTATATGTATTGGTGATTGAATAATGGAATTTTGAAATTGAAGTTTCGGCAAATCTTAAAGACGACGATTGTCCGTAAGGGACACAGTAGCCTTTGATCTGTTGCTGCAAAATATGCAGCTCCAAAACTTCTCATGATTTTTTCGTGGCGCATGTGAATTTTTTCTCTTCTCTTGCTTGAACGTTGGGCATGATATGCGTTTCTTCCGCGCCGGCCTGTTCAAGTTTGATAATAGTGAGAAAATTGTCTTTTCCCGCCCTCCCAACCCAGGAAGAATCGGGTCTGTATAGGCCAATTTCTTGAAAGATGTAAAGCCAGGACACTTACATCCGATGCACGTGGGTGGGTGGTGCTTAAACTGTGTAACGCCCAGTAACATCCCACGACCAAGCTCGCCGCTTCAATGAAAAATGAGTATCCGTTTGTTTGCTGTGCACATGTCAGTGATTCGATTGCCTTGTATATATTGGTGATTGAATAATGGAATTTTGAAATTGAAGTTTTGGCAAATCTTAAAGACAAATAAAAGCAGAGTCACATTGTTTGGCTTGATGTCAATTTCACATGTGAAGGCGATGATGTCTTTTGTAGCAAATACCTTCCTGGATCAGTGATAGGGGAACAGATAATCCGGTGTTGGCTTGACTGAGCTGAAGTGAAGGGTCACATGACGTATACGACATCTTAGTTTAGTTTTCTTCGCAACATGATTTGCCTTAAGGGCTTCCAAAACTCATAGGTACTTGCACAGTTTCTGAGATCCTTGCAAACGTTCCATTTTTCCATGATTGTTGATCGGCAGGAGCAAGCTTCGGTGCAAGAGTTGGGGGGTTACAGTTCAGGAAATCATATACGTAAATCTCATCAGCATAATTGTGTTGAACATGCCTAGCTGGGTTTTCGTTGAAACCATGGAAAGGGCGTTTATTTCAGGAATTCCCATAATTAGTGCCCAGTGTTGCCAAGCAACTACAGTGCTTTGTCGCCAGAAGTTTGCGTACCACTGTTCGTGTACAAAAAGTATGCAACCAACGGATGGTGCACGTGGGTGGTGTCATACTTTGTGAGCATGGTGTCGAAACTGCGCCTCTTCGCATTGCTTGGAACCCAGATGCTGCATGGATTGCAGCATCAACAAAGCATGTGCGCAGGTCATACAATGTTGTGTTGACCTTATTTGCAATGGTTGCAATGAGTCTTTGCACGTTCATATGTGCATCTGCATGTGACTGTGCAGATGATTGCCGGATTTGGTGTCGCGCTTTCCTATTTGTTAACTTGTGCTTAGCTCAGTTTTCTGGACGAATTAAACGAGTGCACGAGCAGGTGGATCAGTAATTAGCTTCCCACCAGGTGTTCATCGAGCACCTTTGCCTCGTGAGGACATTGCAGCATTGCACAGCTTGATGGAGTTTGGGTCCCAAGCAGGCTTTGCGGTATCAGTTTACGCGAAGCACTTGCCAGCTTGTTTACAGCCTAGGCAGCGTTTGAACAGATCAGAGTTGTGGCCGCAGGCACAATGCTGCAGTCGTTTCAAGACATGTTGTTTGTGGCATTTGTTTGGGAGCACGGGTGTCATGGGATTTTTCCAGTGCATACTGGTTGATTATATGAATTGCAAACAAACATTGTATGTTGGACTTAAACTTTGCCTTTCGGGCAAGTAGTGACGGGCTTTATGCAGGTCCAAATCGACGTATCTGTGGCAGATCCGCATGCATTAAACCCACAGGCCCGCAATTGTCGATTTGCATACACATGTTGACATGACTTTTGCATGTCCAGGTGACCCACACGTTCGTGAACTTACTGTCCGCAGCTTTGGGTGCCGTGCTTGGTGGTGGTGCATATCTCCACATGAAATGTTTCTGTGCGTTGGTGATTGTAGAGAGAAAGACTTCAAATCGCACCGTGAAACCAATTCATGACATGGACAATGAGAGCAGCGCTCATGTCTTATGTTGCCAAGCTGTCAAATTAGGGATCCGTTGCCAGATGCACCCCATGTTAGGCTCAAAGGTTTCCAATGCACGCGCTACCTTAAGGTGAATGTTCTGGGGAAAGTATTCCCACGGCTGCTCACCTCATATCATGATTGGCGGGACAAATGCTTTTCCCTTTGTTCCAGGATTGCTAGCCTACTAAAGTGCATTTGTGCGTGACATTTGGTTTTGCACGTGTGCAACTGCGGATGATTTGGTCCCAGCTTTCTCAGATTCTTTTGCACCGCTCTTGGAATGTGAAGCGTGCTTGAAGCCAGCCTCGTGTTCCAAGGTGGCAGAGCTCGTTTGAATTTTGCCGCTGCAGCCTCAGCATGAGACTCCTGCTATTGCAGTTTTGGGCGTTCCTTTTCTTCAGGTTTCCAATCCAAGACATGCGAACCCCATTCCCTGTGTGGGAGCTGTGAGGTTCTTAGCTGCACATGTGCAACATTTTGTGGCTACAATGCTGTGCGCAATATTTCCATTAGGATTCTGATAGATGCCTGGCCGCCTTAGAGATGCATGCGTGAACCTCAGATTTTCATTCGGTCTCTTAAAGTTGCCCCTCATATACGTGTCAGGCATCGCGGCAGATGCCCACGCTCAGCAACTCGTTGCTGCCTCGCTAGAAAGGTTGACGTCGGATAGAAAGCAGTGTGCCAAGGTTTGAGCTTATTCTTCTAAATTCAGAAGATGGCCCGCGACTTACACCGCAGCAGGAGTCTAATAGCCTCGGGCCTTGCTTCATAGTCCTAGCGACAGGCGCATGCTCAGCATGAAAGGCTTCCTGTAGCAACAAACGTCATATCGCACGCAAAGCCTTGACATGTCCTGTTTTGGCCACAGGGTCTTCTGTCACATTGGGTGCCGACAAAAAGGCCTGGGTGTCGCGTTCCCAGGTTGGCTGTGCCTTGAAAACACATTTTGCGCTAGTGTTGTACTTCGATGGAGTTTGGAGCATTCTTAACTGAGGAGGTGGCAACTACAGTCGTGCTCGACTGAGTTTATTTAGCTTCCATGCTGAACCATTGACTGGCATCTCGCTGCAGGATTTCTGCGGAGGAGATGGCGCAGGCAGTGGCGCGTCATCTGGAGGCGTTGGCACGAAGGATTTCTTGCACCTTTAGAGTCAATCCCGTTCCTTTACTTTGTTCTGACTGCGCTGCAGCCTCGTTGGGTCTTCACAACTGCGTACATTGCGTACATGTTCTTATGCTCTGCCTGCGCAATGCTGCGCAATGCTGCGCATACGCGTTCGCTCCAGAGCTGCCCTCGGTCTTGTTTTCGTGCATGTTTGTCTGGCGTGTACATGAAGGGCCAAAGGTTCATACGGAACACACAATGCTTTATTTACGACATTCGCGGCACAGAAGAATGCAGGGGAGCTCTGAGTCCTCAGTTCCGACAGCCGAATGTAAGCCTTGGCTTTTTGAGTGCGCTGAGTGCTCTGAGTGCACGTGAACCGTCCAGGCCAGCTGGTTGCGCCAGGCGCTGGACGAAGGAGTTGCATTGTTTGAGGCCATTCCATAGCTGCTAGATTTCTTCTCGGCACGGCCTTGTACCGAGATAACTCCTGGCTACGTTTTCAGCTTTTTTCTCGTGGGCGACTGTCACGCCAGAGTGTCGTGGGATTTCAATGTTGGGAGCTTAGAGGCCCTGAAGTTGCAGACAAGCGCTTACTGTAACCGAAGCTCTGAGGTACTGTCGCCGTTTCTTTCCAGATTTCTGGAACGACTGCAAATGCTCTTCGACATCGAGATGAACTCTCAGGTTGGACTGGCTTTAAGGAGTCGAATGTAAGCTGTTGCAGCCAGCCGCTTTTTTGGCAAAACAAGGCTTTCGCATGTAAGAACATGATGCTGGAACCTGGTCACAACAGTGTTCGACAAAATAACAATGCTTGGACACATCTGTGCTGAATCGCTGGATTAAGACCACTCCATCGGTGAGGGAAAAGCGGTCTTGAAAATTGTTTTGAGACATGAATGTTTCACAATTATGCAGCAAGAGAAGAAACCGTAAGCCTGCTTTCTATTTGTTTAGTGCCGCCATGCCCCAATACTGGTTGCCACTAAAGCCCCCACCAGAGTGTCAGCTCGTGCTCATGCTTCGTTCTGCTTGTCTTGAGAGTGGCATTATGCCGCTGATTTCTGCTTTGCTTGCCAAGGGAAGGCATGCTTGGAAGTAGATGTGAAGCAGCCAAGCCGAAGGTTATACAGTGTGGTTCCCTGGGCACACCTCTGGAGTGTTCAGCTCAATGATCAACATGAGTTTGCTGCAAGCTTCCTCCATCTGTGCATGTCAAAGACGCTCAGGCCAGGTGAGCAGTTGAACGACATGCCTCAAAGCAGGAGTGTTCGCGTGCAGGGTCAAGCCAGTGGCTCACATCCAAATTGGTAGCAGAGCTATCTGAACGGTGAGGACTGTCGATGCTTCTATGCTGCAAGTGCTGCTCTTGGAAATTCCGAGACACTTTTGCCTTGAGCTGACTGCTGCTAGCAGTTGAGCCACGCAAGGCAGATTTCATGAGAAGGACGGGTGAGTGGCCTGCAGATGCACTGACTCGTGGCCTTGCTCATATTTCGATTTCAGTGCCCGCATGTGAATTTTGCGGCTTTTGTCATTCTCAGCAATCAGGTGATGCTAGATGGCTGCCTCCGCTGGTTCGGCTGGTGGCTTTCAAGCCGTCAGCCCCCATCAAGCTGGATTCGGCCTTGGTATTTCATTCATTGCCATGATGGCCCATGAGGAAGATGACTCACTTTGATCGTTCTGCAGCCCCGCAATTTCGACAAAAAGCTACCCGTCGTAGTGGCAGAGATGTTTGCAGCCAGGGAAGCTTGAGCGGATCATTTTGTTTCCAATTTGGGGAGGCCCTCCGCCCACCCTCGTGCTGATCTTAAGGCCATCCATGCCCACGGTCACAAAATCATGTCATCACCATGTTTGCAGAAGCGGAGGGTTGTGCGGATCATTTCGTTTTGGAAAAGGCCTCTCCAACCAATCCTCACGCTGTTTAAAACCATCCATGCTTCCATAAAAATCATGTCATCACGTGTGCGGATGTGCGGATCATATTGTTTGCAAGCGGGGAGGCCGTGCCCCCCGACCTCGTCGCTTTTTAAAGGCCATCCATGCTGGCAATAAAGGGAAGCATCATGTCATCGTCATGTTTGCAATACGGGAAGCTTGTGCAGATCATTTTGTTTGCAAAATGGGGGGGGGCAACTACCCTGGCTGTTTTTACGGCCATCCATGCTTGCGGTAATGTTATCACCGAACTGGGCCGTAGGGCGCCCTGCGCTGACCCAGCCGACGCGCAGCGTCTACTCGTCCGGGCGGCCCGTGCCCTGTGCTCAGAGGGGCGAGCCCTCTTAAACCAAGACAGCCTTTTGCCGCTTGCCACCTAAAAAAGTGCGAGGGGACACTGATTGCTGGAATGGGCCTCCGGCCCTATACTGCCGTCCCTTACCACTTCTGGCCCAAGTCAGGCTCCTCTGGCTAGCCGCCAATAGACTTGGCCACAACCCCCCCTGGAACCTCCCGCGGAGGGGGCCTATGACGCTAGCGGAGGCCCCCTGCGATGCTGGGCGGGGAAGGGTGCGGGAGGCCGCGGGCACGCCCCCGCAGGTCGACACCTACCTACCTACCTACCTACTTACCTACCTACCTGTTATCACCTTGTTTTTCACTTATGCGGATCATTTTGTTTGCAACCGGTGGGGGCTGCGTCCCCCGAACCCCAACTTTGTAAAAGCCTTCCATGCCTTCAGCTAAAACAACATGTCATCGCTATGCTTGCCACGAGGGAGGGCAAGGGAGGATTATGCGGATCAGACTGTTTGCGAAGGGCGGCGGCTGCGCCATCCAACTGCGCAACAGAAAATCTGTCTAAATGCTGAAAAGTGCAGCGTTTACGTGCTTAGTAAAGCTCCGAATGCTGTAATTTACAACATGCATCGGCAAGTTCTAGAAAATTCAGAGCTGGCGTGCTGTGATTTACAGTATCTGCCAGCTCTAAAGAGTTCCAAGTGCAGTAATTTACAATATCTGCAAGCTCTCAAGAACTTCAAATGCTGTAATTTACAATCTCTACAAGATCTAGATGAGTTCTGCTATAACTTATAGCATTTGCAAGCTCTAGGTGAGTTTACAATATCTGCGGCCTCTACGCTTTCCAAGATGTTGGAAATTAGAGCATCTGCAGTGTCTATGCAGATTCTATGCGACCCAAATGCCGCAACTTGCCGTATATCTTCTATCATAGGCAAGATCTTCAATCACAAGCAATTTGTTTGATTCCTTCTCTATTTCTTCATCCTGCGACTGTCGACATTTTTCACAATCCCCGAGGATTAGAGGATCCAACAGTGACGACAGTAATGAGGATCGCGAGCCCGACCGTGCGATCCTTGTAACTAAGCTTTTGAAGCTCCGAAAGCATCCGTAACAACGACAGTTACGAGGATCGCGAGCGCGATCCCTGCAATCCCTGCGACTGTCGAGACTTTTCAAACCCCAAGAGGATTTGAGGGGCCAAAAGCGATGACGGTTGCGAGGATCACGAGTGCGATCCCGTCAATCTCTGTGCCTGTTGGCCCCTCAACCTCCAAGAGGATCCGCGGGTCCAAAAACGACGAAACTTGCGCACATGCTGCTAAAGCAGCCCGAAGGCTGGACACAGGCTGCAATCGTGTAACTAAGTATACGTAGACAACAAAGATGTCCATCAACTCAACCAGGCTTTGGACGACAGAACCCAGGCTCGCTCTACAGCTCTAGGGATGACAGTCTTGCGCGATGCAGAACTGCATGACAAGTACGCAAGCCTCAGTTGGATTAATTGGGACCAGGAGGGGGTAATAAACCAAGAAGAACCATCAAAAAGGGCCTTGAACACGGTTTGCTGCGCAGGCTAACCACGTTTTAGCAAGCATAGGCTAACCCCACACCTCGCATCCTATACCCCCC